CATCCAGGACAGAGAGCTGAGGAAATGCAGGGCAAAAGGTAAGGGTGTGTTTCTCCCCCGCGGCGCGGGTGACGCGTTCTGCCGAGGTCCCGCAGCGAGCCACAACGCCTGCGCCCCTGCGCTCGCTGGCAAAACGGAAACGCATCCCTAAAATAATGCCGGGCTAACCGGAAGGTCGATTTAAGCGGAGGCTGCCGGAGGCAGAGCCCGCAGGGCCGGGACTGCCCAGGGCCGGCCGCCGGAGCTGCGCCGCGGGGACCGCGGGAGCCGGGAGCGGGTGATGCGGGTGCAGCCGGGCACAGCTCACCCCGGCGCCCCTGTCTCCCCTCTGCCACAGGTCTCTTCGAGCAGAGGGTTGAACAGTATTTGGAAGAGCTTCCAGACACGGAACAAAGTGGAGTGAACAAGTTCCTGCGAGGCCTTGGTGAGGAAAATGTTTAGAAGTATTTCTGAAATTAATGTTAGTGCTTGTGGTTATTTTTTTTCTGTTTTTTTTTTTTTTTTTTTTTTTTATAAATTTAAAAAAGCCTTACCTGAGGTAAAATCAGATAAGCAGCTGCAATGTGATAGGAAATATTAAAAAGAAAACAGTGAAAACATAGTTAAAGATGACAAAACCAGATTTAATTATGAGCCTTGTTAACACTTTCATTTTCATTTTGGGGGTGGGGAACCAAACTATAATGGAGGAGTAGAACAAGAAGGTGTCTGACCACTCAGCACTCTGTTAGTTGGCTGTCCCTGCTGGTGTTGATTTGAAGAGTTACCTTACAGGAATTACATTAAAAGTTAGTCCCATCTGCTAGGTCACTTTTGATTACCCTGGCTCTTTGGTACATGTGAGACACTGACGGTGTGCTTTCTTCAGGGAACAAAATGAAGTTCCTTCACAAGAAGAACTAATTCCTTTCTGCTGAAATACCAACCCAAAGACTATTTATGACACTGCGCGAGACACCTGCGGCATTCCAGAGTTTGGAGCATGAGGAGAGCAGAGCGAGCTCTAAGTGATGACTGATGCTGTTGACAGTGTGCCACGTGATGGCTCCTTTATGTATTTAGAAAGAATTTGTACATAATGTGCTGTAAGCTTTTTGTAACTGATTTTGTAATGAGCAAGAAAACTGTGGTAAATATTTGTATATTCCTGAGAATAACAGGTGCTTATTTTTGTTTCTTTAGTATGAATTGAGTTATGCTTGGTGCAAAAATGAATAGCTGATTTATGTGCAGCTGACTGTCTCAGCAGAACCACTGACTTCAAGGGATGTTTGTGAGAGAGCGACGCTGATGCCTGAACACTGTGGGGTGAATGAGCTCGGGTACATGGGAGAGGTTGTACGAACGGGGGCCGCTTTCACGCGGCGCAGTTGCTTGTTTGGTTGGGTTTTTTCCCCTCTAATTAATTTTAAAGAAATAACAAAGCAACTTGATAATAAGGTACTTGGTTCACAATGCAAACTTTCCACTTGGTTTGAACTCTGGTCAGTAAACTCCTTGTAATCCATTCTGCACTAAGACTGCTAAACCTGAGGAGATCTCAGCTCTTTGACATACAAGCTGCAGCGAGTAGGTACAGTACATCCTTTCCTAATGTATGTATGTATGGTTTCTAATAAACTCTGTAAATATACCTGTTTGTTTATATTCATTGCAAACCTCTGCAGTTTCTGATGTTGAGCAGGTACAAACCCAGTAACTTTCCTGTGATTTTTTTTTTAAACGAATTTGTAATTAAAATGGTTATTATGAACCTATCTTTTGGTAGGTTTGCTATTTCGTGATGTGTAGTTTGGGTTTTCTTCAATGTTTTTCACTGGTGCTAAGAGCAGGTGTTTTATATCGCTGTTTTGTTAATTTTATCCGAACAGAAGCATCTCTTAAAACATTTCTTTGATGGGGTAGCAGCAAATTCTTTTATCATTGTATCATATATATATTTTCAGGTTGCTTTTGTGCTACCTTGGGTAGATGATCAGAGTAGAATACGAGCAGCTTATAGCAGGCAGCCTTTGCCTGAATTTCTGATGAGCTGATCACCTACATTTCATGAGAGACTGCTTTTCTTTTACATTAATTGCAGTGTGTTTAGCTGATGTTTCCATGTCAGTGAAGACAGGACAGGAATGGTTCAGCTTGCCATGGCTCCTGCACAGCTGTGAGTGCTGCTTAACTACCACATTCATCCTTGATCTGATAACAGAACTGTTGAGGTTCTGTAAGTTTCCCTGTAGTCTGAGGAAGAAAATATAAAATGCTTGAATATGTTTGCAAGTCTGACAGATAATGAAAATTAGCTAAAGCTTCTTACCTTTAAAGAAAAAAAGCCATACTGTGTTTTTCTTCATTTGCAGCATGATTTCTGTAGTTAGACTGGCTTTGAGGCTTGCGCAATTCCGAACCTGTCAGTGGTTCTGGTTTGCTATCAGCCTCATAGAACAATATCGAGGGATTATTCACTAAAAAGGTGAAGCCGTTTCCTTTTTTAATTACTTCCCTCACACTCGTGTGTATACAAAAGCTTTTAAGTGGACATGAAATGTCTGTAAAATATCAGGTGCTTTTGATTCAATGGAAATGTCATCACAATCAATAATTTACATTAGTTTTACTATATAATATGTTCTAAGTTCCAGAATGGCTCCTAGATGTAAGTCTTCAGAGTGGAAGGAATAATGTCACTTGTACAGGTGGCTTCTGGCCTTTTTATAAACAACAGCTGCTAGTAAATGTATGGGGAAATACATATTCCTCTTAAGGAAATGATGGATAAAACATCATCAGGACATGCTGCAGAGTTGCTACAAAAGCAAGACAAAGCTGCGGAATGCTGACGTACAAGACTGTGATGCTGTAAAAGCCGTCTCCCACACCAAAGCTATTTTCCTCCATCTGCACTTTAAAAATTTAAGGAGAAAGGTTTTAAACATTTTATGATCCATCAACATGTTGCTCCTGCTTTTGTAATGTGAATCAGAGGATAGAAATGGACATGGTGAGATCACGTTTCAAAAAATCTGTAGATCTTCTTGACCCTCAGACTATGGCTATATAAAACAATCCCTGTGTTATTTGGAGGTCTGTGTTTGAAAGGGAAGGATGAATGAAAAATAAGGAGTGTTCTCTTCTAAATTAGTTGCTGAAACTAATGGGTTTCCTCCAGCATGGAACATTCCAAGTGCACTGCTTAACTGAGAAGGAAATTCTGAAAAAACCCAAATCTAATATCAAGCCCTGTGTTTAAAACTGGTAAAGATCTGTTTAAAATCTTACAGTATAAAATCCATTAAAAAAACCCTCCAAAAATCCATGCTTAATCATAGAATATTTAATAGTTGGAGGGGACCCAAAAGGATCACCGGGCACTCTTAAGGGAACGGCCCATACAGGGTTCGAGAACACAGTAACACTCCTCAGGCATCACTAGTACTCTGGTGTGGCAAATAACTGTGTTTAGTACATAGTGTTTATTTTCCCGTTGTTATGGGTGTTTAATAAAGTGACCCAGCTTGCAAATTTTCCAAAGTTCTGCTCAAAATCCAGCTTTTCCTGCGGATCGCAGCAGGAATTTCGAGATCAGACAGCGTACTCTTCCTGCCCACTAAGCTCAGCTCCCGACGCGGCCGCCTCAGCGAAGCCTCGCGAGAGTTCAGCCCCGCCCACCCGCCCGCCGCGCTTTTTTCCGCTCTCGCGAGAACCGCGCCCTTTCTCTTCCTCGCGCACGCCGACAAGATGGTGGGAGCTGCTGCCGGGCCGGGCCGGGCCGGGATGGGATGGGATGGGATGGGATGGAACGGGATGGAATGGAGGGCTCCGCGGCCGTCGCTCCCGCAGAGGGACATGGCTGAGGAGTACTGGAGGGTGGCGGGGAGGCGCGTCTCCGAGCCCGCGGCGGGGCAGAGCGGTGTGGGGAGGCCGGCCCGCCATGGCGTGTGGCTGCGCGCCCGCTGTGGGGCTGCGGCCTCGGGGTGCGGCGGGTGGTTCTGCTGCCTCTCGCTGCCCGTCGCGCTCACAGCTTCTCTCCCGCTTTCCTGCAGCCTTCCAGGCTAAGGAAGACCCGGAAGCTGAGAGGGCACGTCAGCCACGGGCACGGCCGCGTGGGTGAGTGGAGGGGAGGCCGCGGGTGGGCTGGGGCGCCTCGGCGGGAGTGTCCCTGTCGGCTGAGGGCTCCCTGGCGCTGAGGGGAGGTTGCGGTGCCTCACGGGTCGCAGGAAAAGGCGGCCGTGGGTGCAGGGGCCCGCTGGGCTGTGAGACGTAGCGAGTAGTTCCGAAGGCCGCAGCGTGCGGGGGTCAGTGCCGCAGTGATGGGCCGATCAGAAGCCTTGCATATTTGTAACTAAAGTAGGGCTCAGGCGATCAGTACTGGTCGTGCGACATTGTAACATTACAGGGCAGTGCTGTCTGCCTTCTGATTCTTTGGCCGTTCACACCTTGTCACACAACAAGGTGGAATAATTAATTAAATTAGTTTAAATTGACACTTAATGTACCTTTAAGCCCAAGTATTATATGTAACGTTAGTGTAACAAACTTAAATTTTTCTTTTTAGGGAAACACAGGAAGCATCCAGGAGGACGTGGTAATGCTGGTGGTATGCACCATCACAGGATTAACTTTGATAAATAGTAAGTGAACATTTTAAATGAATACTAGCAATGTGTGTGTTCCTGAAGTAGACACAACTAACTTTTATTTGTGAATAAAGAAAATTTTCTGCAATCCTGTGTGCTTTTTACTCTTAACGTGAAGTGTGGCATTATAGCTACAGTCAACTCAGGTCCCCATTTACCCTAAAATCAAAGGCTTTTTCACTTAAACAAGGTGTCTTCTAAGAGTTCAGTGCTGTATTTGGTAAATTTGACCTGACTTGCCGGTTAATAACTTGGTTCTTGCTTAACAATGCACACACAATAAACTTAAAATATTATATTAAATGTTAAATCCAAACTGCATCCTGTTAGCTGCATCCTGAAGGGTCAGGGATGTTGTCCTTACTCGTGGCCGAGACTATAGAGTCACATCTGGGCACTGCCTGTTGTCCTGGTGTGCTGGAGTCCTCGGACAGTAAACACTAATCTATTCACTGGCTGTGCCTACTCCTGTCTCAGTCAGTCACCAGGTTAGTGACAGGAGCGCTGAAACTCTGCAGGCAGTGCAGCCCTCCCAGCATTCATGGAGTTGAGACTGCCCTAGAAATGCAGACTCCAGTGAGAGGGATGATGAAACACTTGAAGTAATTTTTTCTTGGTTTAGTTACTAATAATTATTACACCTAAATACTACACATACTAATATGAAAAAAAATATAATGTGAAAATTTCGATTGCTTTAATCCAATAAGGTGCTTGTTTGAGTGTTAATTTTGTAGTTCTGCTTGTTCAGGATGATTTAAAAATGTGATTTAATGCGGAATATGTTTCTTTCCCAGTCACCCTGGTTACTTTGGAAAAGTAGGCATGAGACACTATCACTTGAAGAGAAACCAAAAGTTCTGTCCTACTGTCAACCTGGATAAACTGTGGACGCTCGTCAGTGAACAGACCAGGCTTAATTATGCCAAAAATGAGGCTGGTCTGGCCCCAGTCATCGACGTAGTGCGCTCGGTGAGTTCCTGCTCAGACTCAGCCCTGTGATTTCTGGTCTCTTCATGTGTGACTGAGCTTTGCCTTTCCAAGTAGGGAAATGGTGAACTGCAACTAAGTTCAAGTGCTTAAGTATTTGTGAGCTTCTCGAGACAGGTATCTTGGCATACAGGTAGTTACAGAGGCACTTATGGTGTTACATTTTTCCCTGTAAGAACTTTTTCTTATAGTTGTGTGTGACTGTGGGCATAGAGTTCTCTCCTTTGGGTAGATGGTGAAAGATTTCTTGTTGAAAATGTTACTGAAAGCACGTACAAAACCTGGCAGAACTGGTCTCATAACATCACTTTTTCAATATCGAGACTAGAGTCACATCTCCACATGTTTGGTTGTCTTGGTGTGCTATAGTTCTCGGACATAAACACCTGCTCCTTATTCACTGGCTGTGATGTCCTGTATCCCAGTCAGCCACCGAATCAGGAACACTGAACTGCTCTGCCAGGTGGGGGTGTTCTGCCTCTCACATGAAGATACCTGTGTTGGCCAGTTAGGCTGCCACTTCTAACCAGCAGTGATTTCAACAGCTGTTTCATTAATGGACTTCATGCCATGATTGTCCTATTAATGTAAGGGACAGGAATGACATGAGAGGATTCCAGAGTTAGCAGCTATGGCTGCGAAAGCTTGACAAAGCTTCAGCTGTGCGTTTCAGGCACGCAGAAGAGCCCTCTGCTCTGCTCAGAAGTACCAGGGTGTCCAACTGGTAAAGAGCACTGACCAGCAGTCATTGCATAGTAGGCAGTATTGGAAGTGCAACCAACTGCTCTTCCCAGAAAAATGTGGAAAGGTTGGTGACTTTAGAGTGTTTTTTGTATATGGAGTATTTGGGGAAGCATCATCCAGCTTCTATATCACAGGAGAATTTCAGTTTACAGTTTGCACTTTCTTTCAGAACAAATGCAACCCCACTAGGTCCTGCAGGGCATCTTTCTGTAGGTACTGAGTTGTCTGGATGAGGTCACGGTGATCACAGTTTTAGTTTTAACTGTTGAAAAACAGGTCTGAATGTAGAAGCCTGCAAGCCGATTACAAACACTGAACTTCTTTTTTAAATCTTTCTAGGGCTACTACAAAGTCCTGGGCAAGGGGAAGCTGCCCAAGCAGCCTGTAATTGTGAAAGCAAAGTTCTTCAGTAGAAGAGCAGAGGAGAAGATCAAAGAAGTTGGTGGTGCCTGTGTGCTTGTGGCATAAAAGTTTTTGTTTTATTCAAATTTTTTGAATAAAAACAATGGATAAAATGAACTGATATACAGAAGCTTGTTTTGTGTTTTCTGACTTGTCCAGACAGTGTTCACACTTGAGTCTTACCTGCTTAGTTATTTCTGGTACTTTTTGATCAGTGGTTTGACTGTTTCTTGCTTTATTTTGAAATTGCCTGACTACGGTGTACATGGCATGTACAAATACCTCATCTTTTTGTCTTTACAGGGTAGCAAAATAGATTCTGTATTTGTGCTGCTCTTTGATTGGTGATCCTCTCTACAGCTGTCTGTGAAAAGGGGACTTGATGTGTTTGGCACTAGTAAAATTTAGATGGCTTTTAGGGTAAAATTGACATGTGTTCCATTTATGAAACGGTTCATCTTAGCCAGTGGTACTGCTAGTTGTGCAGAACTATAACTTAAATGAATAGTTTGTAAAGTGCTAAGGTAAGAGTGTGTGAACTGTCTCTCCCTGACTGATGGGACCAGTGTTCCCTAATAGGTGATACTGTTCATCCACTGCCAAAGCAAAAACATTCAAGTTCTCAGAGGTGAGTTACGTGGTACAGCAAACTAAGGAGTTCTGTTACTGCCTGATATTGGTCACCTGGTCACTGACCAGATCACAGAAGTGAGGAAAAGCTCGCTCAGCATTGACATGCCCCATGCACACGTGACAACAGGCAGGTGACACCAGCTCGCTTACATGCATAGTAGACACCACTCTCAATTCTTTAGTATTTAATGTCTTAGTATTATGTCTTGCAATATTTTGTCGTGCAAAATGTTCTTTGTGAGAGGCAGGCCAGCCCCACCAGCTCTGGTCTCCGCCCCACTGCAGGCCAGCTGGGATTTAGTGTGGGGTTGGTATTTTGCACAGCTGAGCCTTGTCCCTGACACACCTACACTGAGGCCGGGGCAGGACTTCTTCTTTGGCAGCTGTGTGCCAACTCCTGCTGTAAGGGCCCAGAGGAAAAACCTGGGGTTTGAGGTTGCCAGAGGCACCATGACAGGGAAGGAGGTGCTGGAGGAGGCTGTCAGTCACTGCTGTTGGGTGCATGCCCTCCCCTCACACTGCCTCGCCCTGGAGATAAAACTAGTGGAATTGCTCTTAATAACATTTCAAAGTGCTGTTATGAGCCTCCCGTAGCAACATCCACTTTTAATGGACTGAAGAAGATACAAAAACAAATAAAAATACAGGAAATTGAAAGACCTTCTTAGAGAGTTCATCCCTCAAATATAGAAATTGTTAAGTTTTAAGAGTGTATCATTACAAAATTCTCTTGTCTGAAATGCATTAATACTTTACTGGAAATTCCAGTCCTGAGATACCTGGATGGTTGCCATCAATTTGTTCTGGGATGGCTGTTGCCTTCGCAAGGCCATCACTGACCTTTTCATCCCAAGGCAGCCCCAGTGCAGTGCCTTTCCTTTGCCCTCCTCTGGGCTGATATACCCAAAACACTTTGCTTCCCCTTCCAGGTGTGACTGCCTGCCAGGTGCCTCCCCAGTTCTCCCAGTCTTCCTCCTATTTCTGTCCTGTGTCCTGCCTCATTATTCTCACCATACATCTCCAAATGTAATGAAGTTTATTTTCTTTGTAGTCACTGCTGCTGAACTTGGTGTTTCCCATCAGTGTAGCCAAGTCACTGCTAATCATAGACCCATAGAATAATTTGGGTTGGAAAAAACCTGAGATCATCGAGTCAAGCTGTTAACCAAGTACTGCCAAATCTACCACTAAACCATGTCCCTAAGTGCCACATCTACACAACTTTTAAATACCTCCAGGGATGGTGACTTGAGCAGCCTGTTCCAATGCTTGACAACCCTTTCAGTGAAGAAATGTTTCCTCATATCCCATCTAAACCTCCCCTGGCACAACTTGAGGCTGTATCCTCATGTTCTATCTCTTGTTGGGAGAGGAGGCCGACCCCCACCTTGCTACAGCCTTCTTTCAGGTAGTTGTAGAGAGCGATAAGATCTCCCCTGAGGTGTCCCCAGCTCCCTCATCTGCTCCTCATCAGACTTGTGCTCCAGACCCTTGCCCATCTCCATTGCCCTTCTCTGGACTCACTCCAGAACCTCAATATTTTTCTTGTAGTGAGGGTCTGAGAACTGGACATGGTATTTGAAGTGTGGCATCACCAGTGCTGAGTACAGGGGGACAATCACTTCCCTAGTCCTTCTGACCACTCTGTTTCTGATCCAAGCCAGGATGTCATTGGCCTTGGTCACCTGGGCACACTGCTGGATCATGTTCTGCTGCTGTCAAACAGCACCTCCAGGTCTTTTTCCACTTGGCCCCTTTCCAGCCACTCTGTCCCCAGCCTGCAGCGCTGCCTGGGGTTGTTGTGACCCAAGTGCAGGACCTGGCACTTGGCCTTATTGAACCTCAGGGACTTGGTCTCGGCCCATTGATTCAGCTTGTCCAGATCCCTCTGCAGAGCCTTCCTGCTCTCCAGCTGATCAACACTCCCACCCAACTTGGTATCATCTGCAAACTGACTTAGGGTACCCTCGGTCCTCTTGTCCAAATCATTCATAAAGAAATTAAACAGGACTAGCCCCAGTACTGAGCCCTGGGGAACACCACTGGTGACTGGCTGCCAGCTGGATGTAACTCCATCCACCACCACTCTCTGAGCCCAAACATCCAACCAGTTCGTAATCTAGCCAAGAGTACACCCATCCAAGCTATGTGCAGCTATTTTCTCCAGGAGAAGGCTTGCGGAAATGGTGTCAAAGACTTTACTGAAGTTTAGGTAGACAACAGCCACAGCCTTTCCCTCATCCACTAAGTGTGTTGTCTTGTCATAGAAGGAGATCAAGTCAGTTAAGCAGGACCAGCTTTTCATAAACCCGTGCTGACTGGGTCTGATCCCCTGGTTATTGCACAAGTGCCACAAGATGGTACTTAAGACAATCTGCTCCATGGCCTTCCCCAGCACCAAGGTCAGGCTGACAGGCCTGTAGTTCCCTGGATCCACTTTCTGGCCCTTCTTATAGCTGGGTGTCACAATTGCTGACCTCCAGTGAACTAGGACCCTTCCGCCTCTCCCCCCCCTCCCAATTAGCCAGGACTGCTGATAAATGACTGGAAGTGGCTCAGTGAGCACTTCCACCAGCTCCCTCAGTACACTTGGGTGGATTCCATCTAGCTCCATAGACCTGTGTGTGTGGCAGGTCACTGACCATTTCCTCTTGGCTTACAGAGGTTTCACTCTGCTCCCCATCCCTGTGTTCCCCATCCCTGTGTTACCCTTAGGAGCTGGGTACTCAGGGAACTAGTCTTACCATTAAAGACCAAGGCAAAGAAGACATTAAGTACCTCAGCCTCCTCTTCCTCCATCTACCAGACTACTAATTTGCATACCTGTCTCAGCACGAAATTTTAAACACTTTTATCACTCTCTTCCCTCTCCTGCCAAAAAAACTTATACATAGTTTTGTATGTTATGCAAAAAGCATAAATTAAAATGTAGGGTAACCTGCTTCTGCTCCTCCAGCCACAGGTTCGGCCTTTACAGTGACACAGTGTTTCCCACTTTGTTTGCACTGATTCTCTGTGCAGGGATGCTTTGGTCCCGGGCTGTGGTTTCTTTGTATAAACAATGTGGTAATCTAAGACCTCAGCTTCCTACTGCAGAAATGACATGTTTTTGTGGGTGCTGGTTTGTCTTCTTAGCAACAGCATTTGCAAGAAACAACAGAGATGGAGTGAGCTGAGAGGCTGTGCTGCTCTAGGGACATTTGCCTCTGAAAGATGAAGATGCATTGTGAAAAGTAAGTTTGTGTAATAAGCACTGATGTAATGTTAGTTAAATCATAGGTACAATTGTCAATTCAATTCACAGATCATTTCTAAAGGGACCTCTACTTTAGAAATTAGAATCTTAAGTTTTAGTGGTAGGTTTGAATTTGTCTAAGTAATTTGTCAGTCAAGTCGGTGGATATCTACCTAGAATAGGTCTTGGGTATGAACTATGGTGCAGACTTTAACATAGGGTCCATTTTTTTCTCTAAAATATTCTAGATACCAATTACTTCAGGATGCAACACTGAAAAATTTCCTGGTTGTGAATTTCTGAGACTCTCATAAATTTTTTGTGTTGTAGAAAAAACCCCCCTAAAACAAAACAGAGCCACTTACTAACTATTTCCACTGGAATCTCCCACAAGACAGATTCCTTCAAGGGAATAGGTGGCCCTAAGATTAGAGCTACTGCTTTTCTGTGCTGGGGAAATCTGGATATTGTAGCTTCAGTTACATACTGCTGATAGCAGGGCCACCATGTCAGGGCTATTGGTCCCAGGAAGCTAGCTCAGATAGAAGGGTGACTTCGAGGAGATGAGACTTTATTTGCTTTTTCTCCTCTGATGCAACTTGCAGAAGTTGCCCTTTGCAGGTTGTATCTGATCAACATCTCTCACAATCTCAGAACAGAGGATGAAACATGAACTGCAAAACTCTCAATTGATCTTGGGGAGCTTAGGTTGGCAGGAGGAACACTGTCCTGCTTGTCGGAAGCTTAGGTTTTGTTTATAATCTGATCTGTGGTCATCTTGATAGTCAAAATTTGATTACTGTGAAGTGTATTTTCTATACAGAAGATTGGCAGACGATGCTGCACATTTTTCAAGGCAGCTTTCTAACATGCATTGCTGAAATGATGGACGTGTGATCAGCTATGCTTATTATTTGCTTTACCTGAAAACTGTAAAATATTGAAGTGAAATTGTAAAAATAGTCAGAGAATATCGTCATCTTTATTGCACAGTTTCAGTGCTTCTAACAGGAAATGTACAGTGTGTGATAATTCAGCCCTGTAGCAGCTTTGTAAGTAGATCAATAGAACAGATTAGTTCAGTTTTTACAGAAGTAGCAAATACTAGAGAGATAGTGGGGTCATGGTTTGTAAACCTTAAACCACACTTTCCTGCACAACAATCTGCAAAGATATTCTTTTCTGTAAAGCAGGTATGTGATTTTCAGCAGAAAGGAACTTGTTTTTTGCACAAGGGCTAAATAAATGTTGTTTGTTTGGTTGTTCATCCCGCTGTTGCCTTCTAGCTTGTGCTTGAGTGATCAAGTGTTTTGTGAAGTGAAGGGCTTGTCATGAGCCATTTTGTGATTCTTCATGTTTTCGATGTCAGACTGCAGCCAACAGAAATGGAGACCCTGGATCTGCTGAGGAACTGTTTGGTGTGCAAGTGGGACCTGAGGAGGAGAGACCCCAGAATGCTACCTTGCCTTCATTCCTTCTGTAAGGACTGTCTTCCGGATTTGATTCAAGGATACAGCTATATTCCCACTCAGTATGAAGTTCTGTATGAAGGTAATATTTAAGGATCTCTGGCTTGTGCTCTTTGCATTACAGTATTATAAAAATAGGTGGATTGAGAAGTACTTTTTGTAGCCTATTCTTCTACAGCACTACTTTAAATTGATAAGTTAGGAGAGTCAAGATTTGTATGAGCAGAGAGTGGATTGAGAATAAGCCTTCTTCATTATGTTTTTCATCCAACAGCAGTGTTTTGAATAGAAATGACACAGTCAGGCAACATTTAACATTTTTCAGAATGGGCGAGGTTTCAGTTATCAAGTGCGTCATTATGAAAATTTTGTTTTCTTAGCTTAATAAATGAATAAATGCTGCAAGATAGTTTCCAAGCTGCATCTTTTTGCAATCTTTTTGACATGTTGGACATTTCTATGGTACTGGTGGTGGTGATAGCTTTGTTCTTCCCTCACTCCCACTTCAGTTTCTCCCCAATAACAACACCAAAACATCCAGTTCTCTGTTTCTATTAGAGGTCATAATAATTGTTATTAGAATATGTGTATTCTGGTTTGCTGAAACTCTTCCTTTTATCTCCTTTGTAAATGTGGTTTCTCTCTACCTGCACTGTAACTCACCCTAACAAGCTGAGTAAACTCATGAGGATGAGAAGCATTTTGTGGCTGTGCCTTTTGAAATCCTGAAGTTATTAGTACAGTTTTTGGTAGTGATATTAAGAGAAAATATGTAACTTCTTTTGGATTAGAACTCATATGACATAATACAGTAATTTTTAACTGAATGAGTCTTAATTGCTGTGGGAAAGCATTCCAGACTCATTACTAATTTGTAAGAAGAGCAAAGGCATAGAGGTTACTTGCATTTTCACAGGCTTTGAATTTTAGTTGAGTAAGGGGCATCATTTATTATCTTTTCCACGCTAGATTTTAGAAACATGTAGGAAGAAAAGATACCTTCCCTGAGGTGATGGTAATCAGGCTTGATGAGATAACACAATCATTTAGACTAGTTCAGGTTTGAGAACAAATGGAAACAGTTGAAGAGATCACTGCTGAAAGGTTAGCAAAACACAAAACTAAAGGAAAAGGGAATGACTTAATGGCAAAGGAGAAAGGCTGTTCATGTTTAGATTACAGATAGAAAAAGATATGAAGATATGAAGGTAGGAGAAGAAGGTAAAGGCAACAAAGAAGTCATTTCAAGTAATGTCCCTTTAAAATTTTTAATACTCAGTCATAGTATGCTTAAAGTCTGAGGGACCTATTCTATAAAAAAATGCTGTTGAAACAAGCACTCCATTACTTTTTATGTATTCTCATTTGACACTTAAGCCATTCCTCTCTCCTTTTAGTTTCTGTTTGCCAAGTGGAAAAGTGAACTTCCACCTCTTGGTGATCTTGGATAAAGTACAGCTAAAAGTTCCCATGAGTTGTTAAAATATTAGATATTTCTTCAAGCTGGATCAGGAATCCATGTAGATCAGGAATTCTTTGTCAATAGCAAAATGGAATAAATACTTGTTTATTTCTGTATTCTTGAAGTTTCTCTATTTACTTCCTCGTTCTTTTGTAGGTAGGGAAAATCTGTGGGAAACAGTAGGATCAGAGAAAAGAAATAATGAACAGTGATGACCCAGTAAATGAGGTGAGACACCAGGTGCAGGGACTTAGTTGATATATGAGCAAGAAAAGCAGCAAAACCAAAACATCTGTGTCTCTTAATTAAGTCAACGACTGAAACTGCTGCCACCATAAGTCAGCCAGGATAAATTTGTGAACTCTCGTGCTGGCACGATGCTAAATGTTGTTCGTCTTATCTGCGCTGATTGCTGAGTTATGGGCAGTACAATGCCAACTCAGTTTTCACTGTTATCTTTAGGTATGATCATACATCGGTGCTAATAATAAACTGTACATGCAAATGCTAAACCGTCTTAGCTGAGTAAACATAAAATATTGCCTGTAAGAAAAATGTGTTCCTTACTCACTATTGGGTTCTTTAAGAAAGTGGAAGAAAGGAAAAAGTAAATGTATTTCCAAGTGAAGTTAATCTGATACTTGTTACAAAAAGCATACTTGAATTTGCAGGTTTCTGTATGCTTTACTACAAGTGTAATTAAAGTACTCTGATAACAGAAAGCTCTTTTCTAGTTTACTGTTTTTGTACTGAAATTGCTGAGAAGCTGGAGGTAAGTGGTCCTGATATTTGGTGGGTGTTGGTGTTGGAACTTACTTTTATACCTTTGTGTGTTTACGGTGACTCATAAAAGAAAGCTCTGAGGTAGCCAGAGCTCATATGGAAAAGCTGGATACACATCAGAATATGTATAGCTGTGAGAACTGAGAGTTTGGAGATAATTTGAGTGGAAAGACATCTTTGTGAGTTTGGCTTCTACATATGCTTCTTATATGAAGGGAACTTTAGGATTCTCAGTTTTAATTTTCTTTTTCTTTTTCCTTTTCTTTCCTTTTTCTTTTCTCCCTTCTTCTGCAAATCTTCCTCTCTGTAAGTTGTTCAATGATTTAAATTGTTTCAGTGTTTTAAATATTAATTTCAAAAGTAGCAAAATGAGGACCAGTTTAGGTGCATTGTTGTGAGCAGCTCATGTTTTTGCAAGACTGTCTCTGCTAAAGGATTGATTGGTTTGGTTTTGTTTTCCTTAAGGAAAAAAATATTCACAGGTAACCATTGCTCAATCACAGTTTAGACCCCTGAGAACAAGGCAGATCAGAAAAGATGTACTGGAACACCTTGAGATTTCTGCTAACTGATATCAAGCCCTGGTATTACTTAGATTGTTTGTGGCTGAATTGGGTAATTAGTCTAACCTTTAAGTTACACTTTATGTTAGTAAAATGTGATTAGTAGTTGCCCAGTTTTGTAAATTGCTTTGTGAAGTGTTACATTTAGTTGTATCATGTTTTTATATTGAACGTGTGTGGGGTTTTTATGCAATTCTATTTTAAAAATGTTCTTTGCCCTTTTGTAGTTCTCTAGATTGGATAACAAAAATCATGGCAAAGGACCGCATAATTTCTGTCCACATTCTCTGCATAAGTAAAAAGCTATCTCTGCTTGGGTTATGTTAGCTTAGTGCCAAGAAATGTAACAGGGTTATGTATTAGGGAAATGCAAACTGATTGGATAAAACTAAGAGAAAAACAGACTTTTAAAGAGAACAAATGTGGCTTCAACTGTTGACAGGTGTCCACTTGCTGCATCTTATTATTTCCTCCTGAAAATAAACACTTTTCTTCAGCTTGTGTGGTGTGAGGTATATGTAGCCATGCATCCCTAATTGTGAACACTTGTTAGTGAGGCACATCCAAATGTCAGCCAGGCATTGGTCATAGTTACATTTAATTTGGTCAGAGATATCTTCAAGGGGGTTTGTTTCAAGAAAAGGATTGAGCTCTAGGACTCTTTTGGCTCTAGACTCATTTTCAGTGTGAAGTTTTGGCATAAGAACTATGATGTACTGGCTTAAGGAGACTCCAGGTGTCAACACACAGTGCCTTAGCTTGTATTAAGTCTGTATTCAAAAATAATAATAATAATAAAATTGACAGAGTTCTTTAAACCATAATTAGGCTTACAGTGAGACAGTTTGGCTGCCTTGGTGTTGGTGCAGCTGTGGTGTCTCCAGGACTCTCAAAATATGTTTTGATGCACTCATACAAGGAAAGTGATGCAATGCAATGCATCTATTAACTCTGAAGGAAAACACCCTTTTGCTTTAATTAGAGCCACTTAACACCACATACATGTTTTACATCTAAAAACGGAAGTAGAAAGGTTATTCTGAAGACAGAAACTGTTCATAATGTGTATGTTTAGTCATCTTAAAATGGATTTAAAGTTATTCATCCCATTGCACTGTGTTGTTCAGCTGCCAGATCCAAAAGGCAAGTGAAACAATGAGGGGTTTAGTTATATAAATATGAAACTGTAGAGTGGGAGGTTGTCTTCAAAGCTGTTTCCTATAACCTATAATTGGGTCTCCAAGGAAGTGTAAATTATGCCTGCAGCTTGAGCTGTAGTTAATGCTCTCTGAGAATAATTATTCTGATGGTTGTTGGAGGAAAAAGAGCAGAGGAATAGGTGCAACATGTGGACAGCAAGTATAAATGTGGTGTGTATGGTACCTCCACTGTTTGTTTCTTTATGCTAATCAATTCTCATGATAATAATAAGTTAATTATCTGCATTGATTTATTTCTGAGATGGCCAGCTTGAGGATTCTTTCTTTTTGAACCTGACCAGACTGGGAGACCTTGAAACAAAACTGTGAGCTGCGGCTTTTCATGTTCAAAAGGTCTTTGTACTCGGTGTCCATACGTGGTGGAGAGGTTACACTTTGCACTTTCAGAGGTGATTGCTGCAAATTATCCATAGCTCTGTCACTTACAAATTAGATTGCTGCAATATAGGTGGAGTAAATACTTGAGGGCGCTCAAAAATTCTAGTTCTTTCTTTCTTTGTGCTTCTACAAAGGAACACACTATCTGAGAGTCACTACCTTGATGTCTGCTTACTATTCCCCGGGTCTAATGCAGTGTGGCAACTTTCATTAATGGAAATGAAAGTGCTGTGGGATGTGAGAGATCTGACCTGGGGGAAACTAGGGCTTGAACACTACATGGCAGAAGTTGGTTGTTTTCCTGAAAGCTGATCTTGGATATCCCAGGTGTGGAGTTGCAGTGTTCAGGCTGCTTAACTGTGTCTGACTACTGGACTCTCTGCCTTTGAATTTCCATTTTTGCCTAACCCTCTGTTGAGTTACTGTTGCTGATGGGAGTGTGAGAATGGAGATAAATGTGTGGCTTGTGAAAAAGGGCTGCAGACCAATTCAGCAAAGTAAACATCTGCTGCTGAAGCTTTTCAGGGCTCAGAGATGCCTGTACATAAGCATAACTACACACAGAGATATTGTCACTTCTAGTACTGCTGTCTTTTGTGGTGGTGTTCAGATGCATTATCCTACTACGGATGGTAGTTATAGGAGTAGCAGGGCCCTGGAAGGATGTCAGTGTAAG